CTAGAACTGAACTAGAACTGAACTAGAACTGAACTAGAACTGAACTAGAACTGAACTAGAACTGAACTAGAACTGAACTAGAACTGAACTAGAACTGAACTAGAACTGAACTAGAACTGAACTAGAACTGAACTAGAACTGAACTAGAACTGAACTAGAACTGAACTAGAACTGAACTAGAACTGAACTAGAACTGAACTAGAACTGAACTAGAACTGAACTAGAACTGAACTAGAACTGAACTAGAACTGAACTAGAACTGAACTAGAACTGAACTAGAACTGAACTAGAACTGAACTAGAACTGAACTAGAACTGAACTAGAACTGAACTAGAACTGAACTAGAACTGAACTAGAACTGAACTAGAACTGAACTAGAACTGAACTAGAACTGAACTAGAACTGAACTAGAACTGAACTAGAACTGAACTAGAACTGAACTAGAACTGAACTAGAACTGAACTAGAACTGAACTAGAACTGAACTAGAACTGAACTAGAACTGAACTAGAACTGAACTAGAACTGAACTAGAACTGAACTAGAACTGAACTAGAACTGAACTAGAACTGAACTAGAACTAAACTAGAACTTAACTAGATCATTAATTCTGTGTTAATTTGCAAAAGTATTAAGATTTCAAAATCTTATTATATTTTCTGAAAATTTAAAAAAAAAAAAATATATATATATATATACATATATACATATGTATATTCAAATGATTTTTATCTAATTTGATAATTGATGATTTTTTAACTTTAAAATCAATATCACAAATTAATCAATTGTTATTTTCATAGAATAAAAATAGAAATTTGTAAATATATTGATTAAACACTATAGTAGAAAGACCCAATTTTGTATACATAATTATAAAAATATCTTTATCAGTTAAATAAAAACAAATATTTATTATCTATACAAACAATCTCTAATAATGAAATGATTCACATTAGAACAAAGTAAATTAAAATAAAACCCTATTTTTATTTATTATTTGCTTTTTATTATTTTTATCTGATATTGTACTTAACGCTTTGTTTTCTTTTCTTTCTCTCTTTTAGAAACAAGGAAAATTTACTTCATCGTTTGTTTGTATGTATTGCTGGCGTTGCAGATCAATTGCAAACAAACTTTGCTTTTGACTTACGGCAAATACTGCGTAGTGTTTTCCTAATGAATATGTCACCGGCTCAAGAAGAGTTAGACATACCGGAAAAGCCCAAAGATAATGAATTATTTGAATTTAGGGCTTCCGAAAATGATGTGATACAAGAGAGTGCGGGATCAAGTCAAAGTATTTATTCAGCCGAAGAGGTTAATCCCGAGGGTGATAATCAATCGAACAGTAGTAATAGCAGCAATGGCAGCAGCAGCAACAGTAATACCAGTAGCAGTAGCAATGAAGGCAATAGAGCCTATCGTCATTCAACGGGTACAGCGATAACTAGTAATACTATAACGAGCGAAGAAACGGCGGCAGCAGCAGCTAATCAACGACAACAAATCGAACGTAGTCGTAGTTTAGATAACCAAGCTTGTCCCACAACGATTAATAACCAACAAAGACAGCAGCAACTACGTCAGCAGCAACATAATCATATATTTCGTAATCGTTATAATTCAACAGGCAGCAATTCGCCCTCAATATCATCTTCGGAAAATAGTTCACCCGTTTGTGAACGTTCAACAAATACAACGAATCGTAGAGTATCGGAATCGAATGCTAATACGACTCAGCAGCAACAACAGCCGCAACAGCAACAATTAAATTCCCCTTCTCCGGTACATTTATCACCACCTGCCTGGATACCCGATCAAAAGGCACCACGTTGTATGTCTTGTAACACTCCATTCACTGCATTTAGACGTCGTCATCACTGCCGTAATTGTGGTGGTGTATTTTGTGGTGTTTGTTCCAACAACTCCACACCTTTACCTAAATATGGTCTCACTAAAGCGGTACGTGTCTGTCGTTCCTGTTATGCCCATGAACTTAGTTCAAATGCCATAACTACGACGACTACGTCTGCTCTTAATCATAATAATCATCAACAAAACCACCACCACCACAATCACCATTCTCAGTTAGTTAGTCAAACAACAACAACAACAAACAACACCAACAACGAACCTCGTTTACGTCGTCCTGTTACCACTACTAGAGCTATTGATTAGTAGAGAAATTTTATACAAAAACAAAAAAACATTTTATGTGTGTGTGTATTTTTTTTATATATAAATATGATAAATTTAAATTCTAATTAATATTTTATAATATTATTCCTTTCACTTCACTTTTCATTTGCGTTATTGCACTACAGTTTCACTTGTTTTGAGTTTATCGGCAATAAAATTTTATTAACTTTTTTGGGTAGAAATTATATTAGAAAATTTCTATATAGAATCCTTTTATAAATAAGTCTGAATTTGAAAAGTAGATTGTTTTAGTATTACGGATTGAATTACAAGTTTCCTTCAGGTGTTTGGAATTTGAAAATTAGATTTGCTTTGAAATGTTTAAAAAGTTAACAAATAAATACATTGAATTGCATAATTTTTAAGAAATATTTTTGAAATCTGAAAGATTTCTTTTTAAAATCTGCTGATTTAAAATTCAATATTTCAAGAAATTTTCTAAACTATTTTTGAACCAGAATTTTCCAAATACAATTTGTGTTATAAACATATTCACTAATTAATTTTAAACATAAACTCTACATGATTTTAATTTAATACAAAGAAACATACAACAGTCATTTGTCGTTCATTAATTAATTATAACATTTCTCAAATATTATTTTGGGTTTTGGGTTTAAAACTATAGTTTCTATCTTTTACTCTCCTCTAGCTTTGTCAATGTGTTATTTTTTCTATTAGTTATAATTTTCTAATAATATTTTATTAAATTATCAAAACAAAAAAAGAAGAAAAACCGTGTATACTAATTTTTATTATTAGCTTAAATACAATTTAACATTGTTTCGTTTTCGTTTATTGTTTTCTCTTTTTTATTATTATTACAATTATTATTTTATTTTTTTATTTAATAGGACTTTACACAATATTTAAAATTGTGTAGTAAAATGTTTAGTGTATTTTATTAAAAAAAAAACAAACAAAACCAACAAAAAACTGCAAAATGTATGTATAACTCTTAAATCAATGTGTATATTTACTTTTTTTACATAAGACAATTAGACAATAACAAATTTCAATTTGTTGTAAAACTTATTAAAAAAATTAATTAAAAAAATAAAACTTCTTTTTTATTAATTTGTAAAGTTTAAGGTTTGACATTAACTACGTAAGTTGGAAATTATTTTAGGGTAAGTTACAGCTATAGAAACTAAGTTTAATTTACATAAAAATTGTTCAGATCGGAAGGCAACAACATAAACTTCCACTTTAATAATTTCAATACCACAACGAAACTTAGAGTATCGGAATCGAGTATATTGCAACATATTTCGATAACGAAATTAAGCTAAAATGTGCTAAATTTCTGTTCAAATGCCATTATTTAAAAAATAAAAATTATGAAAAATGTTACATTATCACATTTGCGGTAATTCGGCCTGAGAACTAGAACTGAACTAGAACTGAACTAGAACTGAACTAGAACTGAACTAGAACTGAACTAACTGAACTAGAACTGAACTAGAACTGAACTAGAACTGAACTAGAACTGAACTAGAACTGAACTAGAACTGAACTAGAACTGAACTAGAACTGAACTAGAACTGAACTAGAACTGAACTAGAACTGAACTAGAACTGAACTAGAACTGAACTAGAACTGAACTAGAACTGAACTAGAACTGAACTAGAACTGAACTAGAACTGAACTAGAACTGAACTAGAACTGAACTAGAACTGAACTAGAACTGAACTAGAACTGAACTAGACTAGAACTGAACTAGAACTGAACTAGAACTGAACTAGAACTGAACTAGAACTGAACTAGAACTGAACTAGAACTGAACTAGAACTGAACTAGAACTGAACTAGAACTGAACTAGAACTGAACTAGAACTGAACTAGAACTGAACTAGAACTGAACTAGAACTGAACTAGAACTGAACTAGAACTGAACTAGAACTGAACTAGAACTGAACTATGAACTAGAACTGAACTAGAACTGAACTAGAACTGAACTAGAACTGAACTAGAACTGAACTAGAACTGAACTAGAACTGAACTAGAACTGAACTAGAACTGAACTAGAACTGAACTAGAACTGAACTAGAACTGAACTAGAACTGAACTAGAACTGAACTAGAACTGAACTAGAACTGAACTAGAACTGAACTAGAACTGAACTAGAACTGAACTAGAACTGAACTAGAACTGAACTAGAACTGAACTAGAACTGAACTAGAACTGAACTAGAACTGAACTAGAACTGAACTAGAACTGAACTAGAACTGAACTAGAACTGAACTAGAACTGAACTAGAACTGAACTAGAACTGAACTAGAACTGAACTAGAACTGAACTAGAACTGAACTAGAACTGAACTAGAACTGAACTAGAACTGAACTAGAACTGAACTAGAACTGAACTAGAACTGAACTAGAACTGAACTAGAACTGAACTAGAACTGAACTAGAACTGAACTAGAACTGAACTAGAACTGAACTAGAACTGAACTAGAACTGAACTAGAACTGAACTTGTGGTTAAAGGTAATTTTAAAGAATGAGATTCATTAAATTCGGCCCAAAGTTGTATGATCTTAGGCGTTGGAATTAGAGCTATAGTTTAAGGAGCTTACATGAGCATGATAACTTACACAAGATCGTAACAATGAAATTGCTGATCTACTCCATATTATTACTTATGATAGCATAGAAAGCTTACTTTTGGATGTTACTGATGTTAATGACATACTGAAAGAAATATGTTCTTATGTACTGTACATATATTTGAGGAACTCTATTTTTTGGAGATCTGTTGACAAAAAGGAATTTAACAAAATAAAATATCAAATATATTTTATAAAACGATTAATAAAATAAAACCTACGAAATGCCACCGAAAAAATCTGCTGCTGAAAATGGAAAAAAGGGTAAAAAAGATAAAAAGAAGAAGGAAGCAGAAACCGAGCCCGAGCCACCAATACAAGATTCTTTAATGTCGGTGGTTGAAAAAGATTTAGATTTAATAAAAGATCTAAATGAGGAATTTTTCGCCAGAGGTAATAAGGTAATATAATAATGAAACCCTATTGTAAGCCCCACTTGATTATATCAAATAATATACAGATCATACAAATGTTAATGGAAAGAGGACGCACTTTTGAGGCTTCCAAAATTAAACAATATACCGATATAATATTCAAATTACATCGCAAGTATGTGGAGGAAGTTAAGGAAAATGAAGAGCTTAAGCCGCAAGTGGCAAAAGCGGATACAAAATTAAGAATAGCCTTGGAATTGACCGCCAATTCGGAAGAGGCCATGCAGCATTTAAAAAAGGCTTTAAGTAATACAATAAATAAATTTTATAAAACATACATTTGGTATAAATTTTGAAAATTTAGGTGATGCCTGGCATGAATCCGATGCTGCTTTAACACGCGAACAGGAAATACAAGAAAAATTCCAGGAAGTTCTGATGAAATGTGAAAATTTTGAAAATAAAGAAACTAAACAAGATGAAAATGCCGAGTAATTGTGCTTTATATTTAAATTTATTTGTAACTTATTATCCATATTCCTATTTTAAGATTTGGCCATTTATCGAAATATAAAAATATTATATTACGCGAACGTGATCGCATTAATGGCGAGGTCATCGATTTGGAGAAGCGTTTACAATTGCAACGTTATTATTCCGAGAGTTTAGAATATATTATACATAATCATGAGGATAGTATTAATAAAATGGGCACTCGTGTTAGAGTCATAGATGCTGAAAAACAAAATTTGGATACAAAAGTTCGAACATTGATTAATAATTTGGAAGATCAAAAGGATATGAATAATAAGACTTTAATTAAATTGGAATCGACTTTAAGAGAGGTAAGTGTGACTGATTTGAATAGAGGGATTTCTATATGAGAAAGTTGTTTTGCTTTAGATTGAAGATCGCCTGTTTTGTTCCTCGCTTAGTGATCTTCTAAAGTTATGAGAGATCACCAAACGTGTGATTAATATTGTAATGTAGTTGTTTAATACCGATATGTAGTAATGTTCTATAAAGATTCGACTCTTTATTTGGATATTCGTTACATAACTAAAACCCGATTCTGTACAAAAAAACGATTATTCACTTATAATAAGAATTCGATTTTACACTAAATAACCATTTTTATTTTTAACCAACTAACTAAAGTAAAAGAGATCACTAGGCGTATGATCAATATTCCTATTTAAATATAAAGTTCTAAAAAAATCAATCTTGTGAGGATCGTGGTTAGATCACAACTTTGAGAACATTTTATCAATTATATTTTGCCATTCTTTCTCTTTTTAGCTAAATGATACCCACTCCAAATTAGCCAAGAAAACCGCGGAGTATGATCGTTTAAAATTAGTAGCCGAAAAGTTAAAAAACGACAATTCACTACATCTCAAACAGCTGGCAAAATACGAAGATGATATAGAAGTTTTACACAAAGAACAAAAAGAAAGCGAGGAACTAATTAGAAGTTTGCGTTTAGAGGATAAAGTCAAATGTAACACAATCACTCAGCTAAATAATAAATACAAAAAGTCGGTACAAGATCATAGTGCAGTTTCCTCGAAACTCTACAAAATTAATCGTATAAATAATGGTTTAAATGAGGATATCGTAAGACTTAAGTGGGTTTGAAATAATATAAAACTAATTACAAAATATTAAATTATAACTCTGTTTTAGAAATCAAACTAATTCTTTGGAAAAGGATCTTTTAAATTCAGCTCAAAAGTTTGATGATCTTCGTCGTTTAAAGGATAATATACAAAGAGAGCGTGATAACTTGCGCAGTGATATTGTTAAATTGAATAATCAAATTGCCGATCTGCGTCATACTATTATGATGCAGAGCAATACTATTGATAGTTTACATTTGGATATTAATAAATTAAATGTTAAATTGGATGAGGCTAAAATAAATATAGCCAAAGCAGAAAAGGAAAGAGATGAAATGGCTCAGGAAGTAGAGACTTTGCATGAAAAGATTGAATACTATCAGGGTAAGTTAAAAAATCATTTGGCATCAGATCAAATTAGTTTTTTCTATCATTAATTTAAAACTGCCTCCATTTTTTACAGATCAAATTCAACTAAAAACCGATCAAGTCACTGATTTAAGCGAAAAACTGCAACAAAAGCAATTTCAATTAATAAACATGAAAAAACAACTGGAGACGGTACATTCGGAAAAAATGATCTTACAAAGATCTTTAGAAACCTGTACGCAAGAAAGAGATAATTTCCGTTTACTTCAAACTGTAAGAAAGACTTATAAAATTGTAAATTTAAATATTTTTGTTAAAAAATTGCTTTCCTCCCCGTCCAGAAAACCACCCATCAAATCACCCAGTTAACAAATGAAATTTCCGCCAATCAAAATAAAATCAATTCTTTAAATTTGCGCATTGAACGCTTGAATAATGATAAAAAAGAACTGCAATCCGAATTGAAAAATACCGAAAATGTTTTGGCGAGTGTGCGCAAGGATTTGAAAGAAATGAAATTGAAAAATGAAAATCTTCTAAAAACCATATCGGATGATGAATTGAAATTTATGAAAATATCACAAGATTTAGATGAAACTAGAAAGGAAAAGAATTTAATTGGACTACAAATGGTGCGGAGAAATGATGAGATTGTTCTGCTCAAAGAGAAACTATGTATAACACAAACGGCTTTAGATCAAGGTGGGAAAATATATTGAAACTAAAAAGACTACTGCTATAGAATTTTTCTGCTTTTCAGGACAAACTCAATATAACCAAAGAATTGAAGATATACGTCTTCTTAAACTGGAAATTACCAATTTACAAACTGAACGTGAATGTTTGTCACGTGCTTTGAAAAGTACGGCTAATATGCGAGAGGAAATCATACGTTTGCAAAGATCTCTAAATCAAGAACGTGTTAGAGTGCGTTCCCTAACGGAAGATGCTAAAACTCCTACGGGTGTTCATCGCTGGCGTATTTTGAAGGGTCAAGATCCTAATAAATTTGAATTGTTGGCTAAAGTACAAATGTTGCAAAGGTGAGAGAGTTGTTAAAATAGAATTATAAATTATAGATATTTCATAATCTTGAAAAGAAATTTATCATATCTATTATCAAGGTTTTGAAACTTCTCCAGTCTAATCTTATGTTATGGCTGCTTTAGTGTCTATATTTGAATAACTTGCTCACGACCTTATTACTTTGCATATTTGTTTCAAATTATGGTTGCTTTAGTGTCTATATTTGAATAACTTGCTCACGACCTTATTACTCTGCATATTTGTTTCAAAAATTGTTATTCGAATAATTTTAAACACGAATAATTGCCAACCCTACTATTTATTCTTAAAATTAATAAAATTATAATCTTTAATGCTTTTTTTCCCCATTTTTTAGACGCACTTTAAAACAAGAAATTGAAAAAACCAATCTGCAACGTCAATTGGAGGAGTCGCACAAAGTTTCGGAAACTTTAAAGAGAATCGTCGAAAATATGCCAACTACAAAAGTTAAACAGAAATTGGTGGAAACGCAAGTAAGTGTATTTTGAATAAAATTACAAATCCGGAAAAAAAGGTATCCCACTGACGTACGAAATTAGTAAAATGTCGGATTGTCGAAAATAAAGGGAACAAATATCTAGACGTTTAGTCCAATTGTAATTAAAAGACATTAGGAGATATTAGCTAACAGACAAAATTGGATAGAAACTGGCGATCCGAGATTTGCTGGTAGATATTAATACGAAACTTTCTAACCGATGTGGGATAGTAACTATCACCGATATGTAAAATATATGCAGCTCCTTTATCTTTTTCTCATTCAATCCTAAAAACGGCACAATAGTTTGAATTACTTTTTCTATCTCATTTCTCCTCCTCGCAGCGCATCAATAAACGACAACTCAAAAAACTTAAAGCTCTCAATGCTGAATTGGCCATAGATGAAATTGAGCTCAAGGCCCGTGAATGTATAATAGAAGAATTTAAGGCTACACTGAAATTAACCAAACAACAATTGTGTGGTGCTGGTGATGTGAGCACAGTTAATACCAGCAGACCGGAAATTAACGATTATACAAGTCAAGAAAATTATATGGATTGTGTATTTAGCGCTTCAGGGAATTCGCAAAAAAGTGAAGCCAATCTAGGGGATTTAAAAGATAAAGAAATAGATGAAAAGCCCATCGATAAATAAATAGAAAATTTGGATATTTTTCAAGGTTTTTTTAATAAAAATATGTTTTATTTTTCATTAAAATTAAATTCCATTTGAGGTTTTTATGGTATTATTAAAAGTGACCTGTAGCTGAGGTGGTGCTGACAGACATTGAACCTGCATTTGCATAATGGCTTGTCTCTCCTCTAAAAGTCTTTGTTTTGTTTTACGCTCTTGCAGCAATTGATTCTTGACTTTGCAAAGATTTGTTTTCAAATCTTGAACTTCAATAGCATTCGATTTCTCCTCAATAGATTTGGTGACAATTTCGGCTTTGAGAGCTTTAAGTTTGCGATTTTTGCGTGTAAGGGTGGCCTAGGAAAGGCAAGAGAAATGTTATATTATAGAAATATTTGGTAAAATTTGCTATTACATACCTTAACTTCATTTAATTCAGCCTTGATTTTAATACTGGGTAACTTAACAATAAACTCCTTTAAGGTATTATATAGCCTTTGCGATTCTTTTAAAGCTCTTTCCTGCTCCAAACTGGCAACATTGTAATTTAACAGTTGTCTGCAAAAGTTTAAAATTTTTCCATTAACTCTACTTTAAAATTAATATTTTTCTTTATACTCACTTTCTTAACATTTGTATTCTATTTATAAGATCACTTTTCTCTGGATCCTTTCCCCTTAAATTACGCCAACGGTGTATATTCATGGGCGTCATCATTTCCTCCTGCAAAGCCCGTGCCTTAATTCTTTCCTGATTTAACATTCTATGCATTTGTAGCATTTCATGTCTTAAATCGGCTGCATTTTCACGATCCTTACGCAATACATTTCTCTCGGTTACTAGATTTTTTATTTCAGTTCTCATTAGTTTCATATCATCCCGATTTTGAGAGAATTCAGCTTGCAGCTGATCATGGGATCTTTGTAAATTTTCCAATTCCACCTTGAGTTGATTATATTGTTCTTCCTTTTTGGTGAGTGCAGAACACACGGAGTTTTTCTCATTGATCATGTTGTCTAGATCTCTCTTGAGGCTTTGCATTTTTTTCTCTTCATCCTGCTGAGCCTTGCAAAAGGTGTCATTCTCTTTACGTTTCTCATACAGTTCAGCTTTTGTTTGCTGTTGGCTAAGTTGGGCATTGCGTAGATCATTTTTGAGCAATCTACGTTCTTTTTCCATTTTATCGATTTGTAGTTGTAATTTGCCAATTTCACCATCTCTATAGCTAACTTTGCCTTTGAGAGTTTCAATGCTGGTTTGTAGATTCTCAATGGAAAATTTCAATTTGATTTTGTCTTCATTTAAAGTTTGTATAGTGCGCAGATGTGCATTGCTTTCATTAATGATGACATCGTGTTGTGTCTTCAATTTGGCATATTGGGATTCCAGATCACTAATAGTGCGTTTTAGTTCCAATTCATAAGATTCCTTTAAATGGATTTTGTCTGTGAATGAAATTTAATTTAATTGGAGTAAAAATAAAATTAGTTCCAGCTTACTTTGCAATGCGTCCATTTTGTCTAGTAAATTTTGTATATCATCTAGTTTTTTGTTTTTCTCCATATTAATTTGCGTTATCTCCTCTTTTAGTTTTTTATATTTTCTCTCTTCTAAGAGTAGTGAGTCTTTAAGGGAACGTATTTCATGTTGTGTCTCCTGTATCACTTGTCTTAGCTCTTCAGTTTGTTTTTGCTCTAGCAGAAAGTCACTTTTTAAGGCATCTCTTTCCTTAATAAGATTATTATTGTTCCTCTCATATTGTTGCACCACACGGCGCATGGCTTCAAATTCTTTATCCTGGGTATTTAGCTGGGTCCTTTAGGAATACAAGAGTTAATAACTTCTATTATAAGACAAACACATTTTTAATTTAACTCACTTTAGTCTTAAATTCTCTTGTTCAAACTCTTTGCGAGTTTCTTCCAAAGTACAGTATTTCCTGGAGGCACTATCCTGTAGTTTGGCCAATTTGGCATTCTCCTGTTTCCATTTTATAATTTCATCTTCTCTTATCTGTTTAATGAGAGTTTTATCAAAGTATTTTTCACATTTTATATTTCTTACTCATTTTACCTTTAATATATTTAATTTTTGCGTTAAATCTCTTTTATTTTTATCTCTCTCTTGTGCAGCATATTCCAGGTCCACTGTTATTTTGGCTAATTTATTGCAGGTGGCATTGTGTTGGGTATTCAAATGTTCCATATTGGTTTTCAAAGATAATATCTGTAGATTTTGTCTTACTTTCATTTTGGTTAATTTTTCGTATTGCTGCTTCAAGAGAGAAATCTGTTCGGTATATTTCAATTCATCGGATTTCAATTGATTTAAGTCTTTTGTTAGGGTATCTATGCGTTTTTTACTATTGAAAGCCTCGGTAGAAGTTTCCTGTAATCAAGAGAATAGAATTTAATCATTTTGTATCGATTTCATTTTGTTTAGGAATCAAGAGAGGTAAAGAGGCATATGGCGCTCTTTGCCCTTATCACTTTTAATCTAATTCTTTTCACTTACATCTAAAACTTTAATTAAGTTTTTATTTTTCTCCTCTAGAGTTTGATTCATGGTCTCTAATTCGGTGGTATAATTACGTTGCATTTGCAGACGTTTATTAAGATCTCGTATTTCAGCTTTAAGATTCTCTTTCTCTTTATTTTCATCTCGCCGGCTGTAAAATGATCATTGATCGTTATTATTTGGCTAATTGTTAATTTAACATTATTTACTCACTGTTTTAAACTGGCTCGAGTATCACTTAAAGACTTAATCGTATGCAACTGCTCTTCTACCGTTTCCTTAAGTTTGACCAATTCGTCTTGGGCTGTTTGTTCGCGTATGTGAGCAGCATCTTTTTGACGCCAGGCACTCTCTAGAAATTAGTAAATATGTTTATGTTAATAACAAATTTTGTTTAAGATATATACTTTGTAGATCATTTATATAACAATTGAGGACAATTAAAGGATTAATAAGGGATCAAAATTAAAATGTTCCTAATTCAATTTCAAAAATTTTGGAATATAGTTGTAAAACCCACCTATAACTTCTCTCAATTGAGCAATTGTATCCTGATCCAATTGAGTCATTTTGTGAGCATCAGACAATTGACTCCTTAATTTACTCAACTCCTGGTCTAAATCTTCACATTTTGATTTCTCCAATTTTAAATTACATTTAAAACGATTACTGCAAATCATTAAACGTTGCACGTTATCGGCATTTTGTTGAGAATCTTTTTGACGCAGAACTTTGGTGATCTGGAAAAAAAAATTTTTTAGAATCGCAAAAATATCGAATATTGTATTGTTTAAATCCTACCTCTGGTATTTTATTTAATAAATCCTTATAAAATTGTTCATCAAAATCATCGGGTACTAAAGGTTCATCTTCAGAAGCAGAACCCTTAGAATGAACACTTTCATCCATGTTTTTTTTTTTACTTTAATCTTAAATTGTTAATTAAGTTTTTATTATTTAACAATTATGGCGTTAATTGTTTGTGTATTTCCTGATTTAATAAAAAAAATTATGTGTTTTATGGTTTTGCTACAAAATATTGACTTAATATTTATGCCACAAATTATCTAAGCAACGCGTTGCAATGTTGAACAAAGAGAGTTAGTTCATGTTTTTATAAACAATGAGTGTTGTGGCATAAAAAGAGAAGCAAGTTTGTTGCAAGTTTATAATAAAACTGTGTAAGTTATTATGCATTAAAAAAATGTGTTGTGTCTTTTGTGTGTTACTATTTGGTAACATAACTTAGCTCCATAGTGTAGACCAGGTATAGGTCGAAATATCTTGTAAGTACGGGAAATTTCTTTAGTAGTAGCAACTAGTGCGTGAATAGCGTTACATTAAAGTCGTTGTTGATTTTACAACATTGTTACCATGGTTGTAAGGTGCATGCTTGGGTGATTTGTTGTTTAATAACTTAAATACTCTCACTCAGCGTTGTCAACTATTTTATACCAAAACGCGCTGTCCATTTACTCAAAACGCGCTAAAAAGCACTAAAATTAAATGTAAATATAAGGCCACTAAATATATAGTACTAGTGTAACCTGGGTGTCTCGCTACCCAATGAAAATTAAGTATAAAATTTTTATTACTTTTATAGTTAAGTACTAAGTACCAAAAATCTCCCTTTTATAAATTCTCATTTTATAAGAACCGTGTGTCATTTGTTTCAGATACCCACTGTAGAAACTTTAAAACGTTTGATTCTTGTGCGGATTCTTATTCAGTCAGAATTCTGCATGTTCAATATTTGAAGCACAATAAAGTTTAAATTTACCCTTTTCCCCCGTGGATCCGCTCCTGTGTATGTATATCACATATAAAACTCAAACGACTCAAACCTGCATTCATTTGTTCCAGAAAAATTTGGTCCTATATAGGTCCTAGTTCCAATAGTTTATTTTGTGTGAGTAAATTAAATATTTTTTCAAATTTTATAAAAATTGGCTCAATGAGTTTGAATAAAATTATATTTCCCGTATTCCCCTTTTTGGTACTTTTTTCTTCCCAATGAAATAGAAACTATTTTGTTTTCATAAATATTACAGAGTTAGTCCGTAATTTAATAGGTATACGTCAATAAATCGAAAAAGTTTTTTTAATGTGCTAAAAAAGTACAAAAAATACAGTTTTCTCTATTTTACACCCAAAAAGGACTGCATTTTAAAAAAAGTACGAAATAGCTGTCTCATAATTTTGGAAGATATGTCCAAAACATTTAAAAAATTTTGATTATGTTTATTAGTTAAAAAGTTATAAAGTACCAGAAAAGGTACCAAAATCACCTTTGTTACTCATTTTTACCACTTAAGAGTACGAATTTCAAAAAATTACCAGACACCCATCTACTCATTTTAAGAGTAGATATAGGTGCATTTTTTGTATCACTAATATTATGTAAGATAAGTAAGAAAACCATTTCCAAAAATCCCTCCTTAGTGGATCTACATAACCACACACACATCCACTGTTAAAATTTCATGACTCTATGTTCAGCCGTTTGGTCTGTGCGATGATGAATCAGTCAGTCAGTAACGCGACTCTTTTATATATATATATATATATAGATTTACCTAAAATTTTTTATTAAAAATTGCTCGATATTTGAAAGTTAGATTCAGGAACGAAATTTTAAAAAAATCCAAAGCATGCCATTAATTAAGGTTAATACAAATATGTATGTTCGATTTTCTTATTCAATAACTCTTCCTACCATCTCAAGATCTCAATAACTAGTCAAAGCGATTTTTGCAAAATTTCCCATAATAAATTTGCATTTAAAACCTTCATGTCCAAAAATACCAAGAGGCAAAACTTTGTGAAAAAATAAGTCGTCAAGGAATTGTTTCCTTCGCAGCGAAATTATCAAAAAAAAAAAACAACATTTTGAATTTTGTATATAATTTTATAATCAATTCACGAAATTAATTTTCCCTTCGAAGAGAATGAAAATTTAAAGAGAACACAAATTTATCTTCTATTGGTGAATATTTCTTATTTTAGTTTTTTAATTATTTATGTAACTACTGTCCAAAATTATTCTGTTTATCTATATTGCTCCACTAGAGTAATTTTAAGTTATTAAAAAGATTTTTCATATCTTCAAAAACAAAATAGGTAAAACGCGCTGATTCAGCGCCTTTTTCCAAAAAAGCGCTAAGAGTAAAAAATGCGAATTTTGTGTTGTTAAAAGGCGCTAAATCTAGCGCCAAAAGCGCTAAATTGGCAACGCTGCACTCACTGATAGTTGCGAGTTGTTAATATGGAATTGTTAGATATTTGAAGGAATTTAAACTTTTTATTTTTGGTTTCATTATAAAATTTTTAGATTGCTGCTTCCAGAGAGAAATCTGTTCGGTGTATTTCAATTCATCGGATATCAATTTATTTATCTTCCTTTATGATATCTCTGCGTTTTTGAAGCCTTGGTGGAAGTTTTCTGTAATCAATAGTAAGAAACGATCCGTTTTTGATCATTAGTTTTTGCATTTTATAAGTTAGTATTCTTTACCCACTGCTTCTAACTTCTATACATAATCCTGATTTTATTGGTAAATTTATGTCCCATTACAAAATAGTGTTGATTTCAATTGTGATTTCAATCGAGATAAATATTAAATTCTATTGCAAATCAATTCTAATGATAAATTTTAAAATAGGTAATTTTTTTAATTTTTCCATAATAATTCTTATTAATTTTCAAGTTTTGCTTCTTTTAAAATTCTGCTAATTTGTGTTGTCTAATGTTTTTTTTTGCTATTTATAATTTGTTTTTGCATTTCCCCAATATTGTTATTAATATTTTTATGTTTTTCATTTTATAGTATTTTTGCACCGGTTTTCGTTTCTTCTTCTTCATCTTTCAATCATTTTGCATTTACCCCACTCACATCCAGCAAACACACAAACATACAAAGTTATGTTGGCTATGCATGAGCAACAACATGAAGACTGTTTCTTACATTGTTATTGTTGTTATAGTTGTTGCATGTAGTAGATACATTTCACTTTGGTATCTTTCTTCTTTCTTTCTTTCGTTTTCGTTTAATGTTGTTGGTGTTGTTAGTATTGCATTGACTTGTAACTTCACTTCACTTGCCTTGGCTTTAGTTTTCGTTTTCGCTTTTTCTTTAGCTTTGGCTCTGTCTCTGGCTTTTGATCATCATCACTTTCAGTTTCATTTTCCATTTGTTACATTTCGCGTCGTCAAATTTCGTTTAATACGTAGAAAAATCGTAGAAATAAAATAAAATAAATAAAATTTATTAACAAATTCATTGTTATAAATAAATTGTTTATTAAATAAACAAAAAATAAATAAGATTTATTTCTTTTAAGTTAAATTTTCTAAAAGAAAGGAAAAAATCTTAGTTAAAGAGTAGCTTCAATCAGTGTTTGTGTTTTGGTGTGTGTTTATATCTATTGCCTTTTTATAAATAAATAAAAAAGAGTTTAAAAGCAAAGAATAAATAAAGTTGTTAGTGTTGTTTGTTGTAATATTTGTTAATTAAACAAATTGAAATAATCAAAAGTAAAACAGAATAATAATAATGGCCCGTAGGAAAGTTTCTTTAACGTTGTCGTCTTCATCGTTGGCTTTGTCCAAACAGCAGCAACCGTCTACACTGGATATTGAGAAAATTAAACGCCATTTTAGTTGGTCTGATTGTGAGACAATGTAAGTTTATTGAACTCTTTCTTTTTGTTATTATGTATTTTTTTATTTAATATTTATTATTTTTACTCTTTTTATAATTTTTACTTAATTTTTACATATAAATTTAACGCTTTTTATGTTTCAATAATTTGTTTCTGTGTTTTAATTAATGTTTATTGAATTCATGGGCATTATAAATTAGTTATTGAATTTGTAACATCATTTAAATTTTTATTTGAAGAGCTACTTTTTAACCTCAAAGTGGGAGGGAGTTTGTTTACATTTTATAGCTAGTAGCATTGTTCAGTGATGCCAACTATTTAAAGCTAAAAATCGCTGACAAATCGAGTAAGTAACCCAGGGTGTACTGAACACAAGGTGACATTAGCCCGGCTGATCATTGTTTACAGTTTTTTACACATAGACTTGTATACAGACTTGAATCGTACGATTGTCAAACTTCATAATAAAATTGACAATCGTACGTTTGCTCTCAAATACTACCAAGTATAAATTATGCCTGTAGCTCTCTTCCAATCTCAGTTGTTGCAGTTCTTCGTTATTCCTGACATGCTTGTCCTCTGGGTTTCCATTTACGATTGTGCATCCGAAAAGTAAATATCGAGAAGTCTATCATAAATATTTACTCATTTGCATTCACTCCCCGTTCCAACTTAGATGACACTTTGTTGAAATTATATTTGTACCAGGACATTCGTGAAATTGAAATTGACCGCCATTGTTGAACTATATAGGAACGGTACTCGACAGCTCAGATAATTCATGATCCATTTCTTTATATTGTTGGACATTATGGATAAAATTACTACAGAAGTGCTATGGGGCTTTAAACTTATGAGATCTGAAGTCGCTAAATGTTGTGGATGTTCTGTGTTTATTGCTCCTCCATCATAACGGCTAGATGCTGTTAGGTGGCATGATTGTAGGGGGAATGCCTCAAAAGTATGCACGATAACTAGAAGGAGATATGATATCAACTTGTAGAAGCTTCAAGTTGGGTATGACACTTGTTTACAACAAGTTTTGTAGTATTGATGCATCTGCAATTTCAGAAGAGTTCTGGGGTAAGGTGTGGTAGAGACTAAAAGTTTGCGAATAACACTTCTTAACTTTGTCTCTCACTGGCTGTTAATGATACACCAAAGTCTAGAAGTCACATTCGTTTCCACGACAATTGAATCTTCGCTTCGAAACGACCCGAGTCATGCTCGACCAAAGATTGTCAACCCACCGACAGCTGTATCAACCGGAAGTTTTTCCCCACAGTCGAACTTTTACAACAACAAGTCTCACATAAGAATCCTGGCCAACTAGCCAAATAAACACTCTGCATTTGGTGGAATTAGTAGAGTCTATATATCATGAGCTGATACGTATAGAGAACTTGTACCGAACCCAATTAATTCATTCCATTCGAAACAGAAATATTTATACCCTACACCACTTTAGTTTGTGCTGATGTTTGTAACGCACACTAATATTGGTCCTATACCCACCTTAAAGTATACCAATCTGAATCTGAATCATTTTCTGAGTCGATTTAGCTATGTCCGTCCGTCTGTCCGTCCGTCCATGTAAACCTTGTAATCGAACTACAGGTCGCAATTTTGGAGATAATTCAATGAAATTTGGCACATGATCTTTTATGGTACCGTAGACGAAGCCTGTTTAAAATGGTTTACATCGGTCCATTATTTCACCTAGCCCCCATACAACTGAACCCCTCGAATAGGGCTTTTAAAATTTGTAATCAAACTACATGTCGCAATTTTGGAGATAATTCAATGAAATTTGGCACATGATCTTGAATGGTATCGTAGACGAAGCATACTGAAAATGGTTAACATCGGTCCATTATTTCACCTAGCCCCCATACAACTGAACCACCGAATAGGGCTTTTAAAATTTGTAATCAAACTACAGGTCGCAATTTTGGAGATAATTCAATGAAATTTGGCACATGATCTTTTATGGTACCGTAGACGAAGCCTATTGAAAATGGTTACCATCGATCCATTATTTCACCTAGCCCCCATATAACTGAACCCGCCGAATAGGGCTTTTAAGTTCATAATTATGTTTAATATACTCATATCTCGACAAAAAGCTGCAATAACCAAGTTGTATACAAGACTTGATGACCCCCACGAATTCCATAATAATAGGTTCTCATATGACCCTAGCCCCTATGAAAAGCCCCCATCAAAATTTCACTTAAATGTCCACAATTTTATTCAACAATATACGGCTTAAGTATGTATATCTAAGACAAGGTACAATTCAACTTAAATGCTTTATTATGGCAACTAAATCACATTATATTTTTGTCAAAGGTGTAGGGTATTATATGGTCGGCCTCGCCCGACTATAATTTCTTACTTGTTTTATTCTAACAACGCTTTGAAAAATCTGTTAAAATTTATTTATTGGTTGAGAAGTTTTACCACACCCGTCCTACAATTCACAGTTCAATTTACCTCCGATACATTCTTTTTCTCTATCTTTATACATAATTACTTTAATTAACATTTGATTTCTTTATTTCAACTCATTAAAACGTTTAATGTACTAGAGAATGAGAATAAAATAAACATTATAATAAACTAAAATTTAATTATATTGCTATTAAGAAGTTTAACTTCTTACACATCTTCCTTGTTATTGTTTTCGACAATTAAAAGTAATTTTACAAAAAGCTTTACATTCCGAAATTAATTATGGAATTTTTTTTGTAAAAACACTGAAAACACCTTTAAATAATTATGTTAATTTCCGCCTTAATAAACTAGATTTGATGGTTACTTTTTTAAATTTAATTGTTAAATACAAAATGGTCCATAATTACTGATGATCAATGAAGTACGATCTGAGTGAGGTAAGATCATACATAGAAAAATTAACTGCTTTAGAAGTAGGATTCTCGTTTCTTATGCACCCTAATGGTTCAATATTTGGCCTACATTACCAAAACGGCGATTACTCATATTATTTGTTAATTAGCACAAAACTCAAAAAAAAACCCTGATCGTTAAATATGAGTTCAAATTTTAAGAATTTTCTTCTAAGTACATTTGTACTCAATGACACATTTTTATCTAAATGACTCAGAATTTGTTATTGTTTATGATTTTTTGTTTAATTATTGAGTGTTTTTATTTGTTTATATTTAGCATCCACTAAAAATAAGTAACTATAACTATATGTGTATCTTATCTATTCACTCCACTCGAAGTTTAAGTAGTAGAACAAAGTCGGGCGGTCTTAGTCAATGGTAATAACACACAAACATTTGAAAATGAATTTACCCTACAAGCCAAACGACGACATAAAATGCTTTTTAAGTCTTTGTAATGATGTCGATGGAGAGTCATTGTCGTTTATGGTCCTATTGAAAATCGGTCCATGATATACTAGATATTATTATTGTTATTGACTACTCTATGCATTAGTCTATTTACAAGTTATTAGCTAATTTATGGACTAACCTATTGACTGGTCTATTGATAACCCTATGGACTAGTTGATTGACAATGGGCAAGTCTATTGGTTACTTTATGGAGTAATCTCTTGACTGGTAAACTGATTTCACTGTGGACTAATCGATTGACTATTCTATAGACAAGTTTATTGTTTACTTTGTGATCTAATCTATTGACACTTGATTACCCTATGGACTAATCGATTGACTAGCATATGGTCTAGACTATTGACTATTCTATGGACAAGGTTATTGACAAGTTTATTAACTACTGTATAGATTAATATTGAGAATAGTTTATGGACTAGTCAATTGAATATTCTATTGACTAGTCTATGGTCTAATCTTAAGACTTGTATATAAACCTCGTGCTAGTCTATTGACTAGTTTATGGACAAGTCTATAGAGTCATGGGGGTACAGCGGTATTTTTCGATGTGAAAAAGTACCGATAAAAGTACAATAGTACAGAATTTGGTAAGGTATGGACCTTACTCGGACATCTTTTGTCTGAGTCTGATCATCGTAATATAAGTCTGCACATGTGAAGATAGGTTCATAATCGACTCAAGCCCTAAAGATATTGCTGTTGTCCGATCTAAAATTTCTAAGTCTAAGTAGAAAGAATAATGTTCAAAACATATTTAGATCCGAAGAAATACACTTAGGCCACTATCAGGCCACTCGGACATCTTTTGTCTGAGTCTGATCATCGTTATATAAGTCTGCACATGTGAAGATAGGTTCATAATCGACTCAAGCCCTAAAGATATTGCTGTTGTCCGACCTAAAATTTTTAAGTCTAAATAGAAAATATAATGTTCAAAACATAGCTGTAAAATTTCGATTACGATTAATAATCAATTAAATTATTTTTCAAAAATAATCGTAATGATTAAATGTATGATTATTAATTGATTACGATTAAAATTAATCTAAAAATAATCAGGATTAATTAAAATTAATGAAAATAATCAAAAATAATCAAAATTAATCAAATAATTAATTTGACTATTTTCAAGAATTAATTTTGATTATTTTTGATTAATTTCAATATATTTAGTATAATTTCTTTTTTACATTAAGTGTAATGGAAAACAATTTTTCAAGTTATGACACTATTCAATTATATGAATGTTTTATTGAAAACAATAAATTTATCAAGTTTATTTCTATTGAAAACGGAAAAAATAATTACATTTTTCTTAGAGTTTTTTTGGAGGAAATTATACTATATATATGGAAAATAATCAAAATTAATCCTAGAAAATAATCAACTAATTTTTTGATTAATTTTGATTATTTTTGATTATTTTCATTAATTTCAATTAATCTCTGATTATTTTTAGATTATTTTTAATCGTAATCAATAATTAATTAAAAAAATTCAAAATAATCGTTAATTAATCATTAATTTTACTTTTTTAATAAAAAATAATCTAATTAATAATGATTACGATTATTAATCATTATTTTACAGCTATGGTTCAAAACATAGTTAGATCCGAAGAAATGCACTTAGG